GAGTATCAAGAAGTCATTCTGGGAGAAATAAGTCGACTGTTTTGAATGTTTACACGTTGCGAATATTAAAGCGGCAGCGACCCAATTCTACGTGAAGTCACTATTGAGAACCGATCGACTACACTAAAATCGCTTGAAATATCCCGTAAATAGGGAAGCATTTAAAGTCCACAATCTTCTTCAGCCATTTGAGGTAAGTAATAATCATTTACTTGCCATTTCCTCCGCTAATAACCGGAAAAACTACCAGTTTCACAGTTTAACGGTCTTTCATAGCTTGTCGAAAGATGGCATGTCGAAAAATGGTTGAAAGATGTCGCCTATGCACGTAACACTGAAAGGGGGTGTAAAATATGAGTTTACATCGATCCTCTCAGATTTTGTTCAGATTCTTTGTGGGGTTACATAATACGGTGGTAACGCAGCGGGTAGAATATTATCACAAATTCTTTAACGTTTAAGAGATATCGAGGTCAACGTGTTCATGATCAGTTTTAGGCCAAACATTGACCATATTCTAACTCATTTTTCGTCCAAAATATTCCTAAAAGCATTGAACCTTTCCAGCTCAAAACGCTGGTATAATGAATATCATGTAATTTGATTGCAATGATACCATTGACATTTCAAACGACTTAATAGTTTAGTAACACACCGGCACATTTTAAAAATAGTGCCCTGAAGGAAGTGTTTGGCGGAAAAGATTTTAGGGTAAAAATAAGATTGCAAATCGCCGATGCGGCATTGCTTCAAAAGTTTCTTTACCTACTTTATTATGAAGCCTTTATCGGTTAATAAATACAAGCTCAAAATTGTCTGTAAAGTTTGAAACACTTTGATAACTTTTAATAGCGATAAAGACAATTGGCGGTTAACTTAAAAGCCTCGTTATCCAAACTGAATGTGCACACTTCTATTGAAGAGAAGAGTTGTGAATTCCCGGTGTAAATGCGACAAAATTAAAAATCAGTTGATTGTCAAATATATCCTGTCATATTTGTTTCGGCTCAATATACCCTAAAAGGAACTTCCAAAGCTCCCGCTCCCGCTGGACCTTTTAAGGCTGAACACGTAAGAGGTACCATAACCGCTTTTTTGACCCCTAAAAGGTACGATGAGCACCACTGTCCTTTTATATGGGGGTGCTCCCGGATATAAGTTTATCTTTTTTTTAAA